CCCATAGATGGCCAGGGAAATAAATGAAAACAAACATGAACTATCCACTTTTAATAGCTTCCTGTCTGACTAGAGATACGATTCCAATTGACGGAATGCCAGCAAGAAAGGCAGGTGAGCACTCAAGGCCTTGAGTTCAAGCTCCTGTACAGGCAACCTCTCGTACTAGCTGAAGTAGACCTTTCTAGAAAGCAACTAATAGACTAACAATTAGACTCTCACCCATGCAGAATGTTATTATCAACTATTCATAGATGCTTTCCTGTATACATATATATAATATATACATAGAGAGAGAGAGAAGTATATGAATACAAACATGTACACAGCTTAATCAGCAGAACAATCCTCTAAGGTATGAACAAGACATTATTATCCTCATATAGCACAAGTGAAAGCTGAGGCCCAGAGAATTTAAGTCACTTGCCCAAAGACACACAAAGCAGCAAGAGGTAGAGCCAGGATTCTAACTGAGTTCCTGCTGGCAAGTTAAATTCATGAATCTGATCATGAAATGGCGGTGGCTTCCAACAGTGACATACAGTAATGCTCTTGAAGATAGTACTAGATATTAGCAAAAAGCAGTTTGAAGAGAAAGGAAATTGGCCATAGGAAGTGTGGATATTGGTGTTGGTGGGATGCCAGGCAGCCGTTCAAGCACATGTGGGGAGTAAAGATAACAGGAAGCACTCAAATTGAATGTCAAGTGCAGCAGGCCAGACAGCAGCCTCGGCGGGTGAGGACCTGAGAACTGAGTTGTGGGAGGTTCCGTTTGCTCTGTGGCTCAGCATTGGGCCTGATGCCGGCTTTGCTACCTACTAGCTTTGCTACTACTTACTAGCTTTGCTACCTACTGGCTTTGCTACTATTATCTTCTGGATTTTTCCATGCTTGTCTTATCTCTGTCATCACTGGAAGGGATAGATGGGCACAGGACTGTCTCTGTACCAGTTCTTGCCAGCTCCACTCTGCATACCCATTCTTTTCTGTTGCCCACAGCAATCCTGACTTATAGACCCTCCCCTACCTCTGATCCCCTAGCTCCACCTCTGCCCCAGGCCTCAGCAGCCCCCTGACAGTATCCTAGTCAGCTCCAAGCCCACTGGGTAGCTCTAGGCCTCCCCTTTGGTCAAGTCTTGCTTCCCAGGTGGCCAGGTGGCCCTCACAAACCTCCCCTGTCAGCCTCTCCTCTGCCCAAGTTTTGGTGTCTTTCAGGCATTCTTTGGATAAAGTCCCCTCCCCCACCCCCTGCCAAATCTCTCAGGCCTGATTCCTGTCCCTGCTTCTCCTTGACTCTTGGCTCCACTGCCCACTACCCTGCAGACCCCAGCTCCTTACTTTCCAGGAGGGTGTCGCTCATTGGCTAGGCCAGATCAATCCCATCAGCCCCTTCTCAGAGGCCTCTGAGCAGGCCATGTCTTTCATGGAGTTCCTAGAGCCTGGAAGTCCTGCTGTGTTTAGCATGTTTTCTTTTCTCATTGGCCTCTGCACTCCTCAGGGAGAGGGAATGTGCCAATCTGCATTTAATACAGGCTGACCCTTTCCCAGGGCAGCCCTGCCTACCACAGTAGTCCTGGCTAAGTGGCAGCCTACTGGATCACTGCACTTTCCAGATGAAGAAATGGAGGTGTGGGAAGTTGGAATAATTTTCCTACAGCCACAGAACTACAAGGTGAATGAATCAGGATTTGAACTTGGATCGTCAGGCTCCAGAGTCCATGTTCTTAACCCCTATGCTAGACAAAGGAATTTCCAGCCCCATTTTCATAGTCCTTGACCTCAGCTCCAGCCAGAGGCTGACAAGCCCCCTTCCTGCCTGCTCTGAACACGGCATGCATGGCCACACTGTGCACAGCTGGGGGGCTCTGGAAGACAGAAGTCAAATTGAAGCCTGGTCTGACCTTTATCAGTCAGAAAGCCACAACAAAGCTCCTTCCAGCTGCAAACCCAGTAGGTCACTTCAGTCCTTTGACCTTGCATTCCTCAAAACCTGAAGTGAGATGAGGTCCCTCATCCTTCCTCTTCACCCTATCATGATCTCCACCTACCCACCTGCCTCCCACCTTTGAGACTGGTAGGGGAGCTTTGTCATGTGCAACAACTGACTTACATAGCAGAGATCCTCACCATGTCACCAAGTAGGTGCTCAATAAGCCAAGGGTGAGTAAATAGGTGGATGGTCCCAGAAGTAGTTCTGCAAGCTAACACTGAGCTGGAAGATAAGAGCCCAGCACAGGGCCTGGGGGAGGCCAGTCCTACAATTCCACTGGGCCCAAAAGGTCTCTGGTGAAAGAAGACATTCTCTGCAGGATCCCACCCACTGATACAGACATTCATATGCCCTTGAATGCATCCAGGGGGAGCCTCCGCTTTAGCCCTAACCTGGCCAAGCCACCTAAAAATCAAAGACAGCCCCAGGGCCAACCAAGAAAACGTGTCTCCAGCCAGACAGGTCTGCCCTGACTGGTAGCCCTGGGGCCATCCTGACACTCGGAATGAAGTGTCCAGGCACAACCTCTGACCAGCAATCCTTCATCTTCCCATGGGAGATGCAGCCCTTTGCTTCCAGCAGATTCTCAAGAACACACACCCTCTCCCATGACACTGACTGCTGTGCACACATTCACCCTCCACATGGCCTAAGGCCAGACAGATGAATGGCTTGTATTAAGTCACTTGGCCTTCGCAGTGGGGGTTCATAGAGAAACAGCCTTGGGGCGCAATCAACCAAATGGGAGTCCTATCCCTGAGACTTGAGTCCAGGGATCCATGGGTGCCTGCCAGGACCCCAGCCTAAGTGCCCCATCCACAGTCTTTCCACACTGGAGAGACAAGCAGCCCATCTTCTGTCATGGGCCACTCAGTGGTGCTCAAAGGCCAGCAAGAGCCAGAGAGAGGAGATGATGGAGCAGCCTGAGCACATGCTGCTATAGAAGCAGAGGATCAGGCGGGAACAGGCCCAATCAGAACAGGTCAAGAAAGGCAAGCCTGATATGTCTGATCAGCATCCCGAGGCACCCACAAACTGTACTGAAATGTCCAAAGGAACCTCACCATGCCTGACCCATTGAGGCACATTGCTAGACAGTGCCTCAGTTTTCCCATTGGTAAAAGGTAGAGCAATCATGTCTTTGGTCTTTGTGGGCTCAAAGGAGACAAGTCAGGTTAAGCGCACACACAGTTACTGCACACAGCAAGGGCACAATACAGCGTAGTTATTATCATTAGCATTTGCTTTATTAGAACCCAGGCAGCCAGATGCTGGTGGCTCTCACTTATAATCCTAGCTACTCAGAAGGCTGAGGTCTGAGGATCTCAGTTCAACGCCAACCCTGGGCAAGAAAAGTCCATGTGATCTTATCTCTCACTAACTACCAAAACACACACACACACACACACACACACACAGAGAAAACCCAGGTCATCCCAGGTACCCAGACAGCTGCTGGGCACTGAGCACCTGAAGATTCCAGTGCCTGCCTTTCAAAGAAGGTCCCAGTTTGGGCTGGCGAAAGTCTCAGCCCATGGGTGCTGAGGTTGGTACCCTTGAGGTTCTGTGCAAGTGCTCAAAGCCTTATATATCATATCTAAGACGGTTCCTGTAGGACCTTGGTCCACAGACACGCTGTTTGGCTAGTGGGGGCTGCTCTTTGGAGGGTGCTTGATTTTTTTCAGCCTGGAGCTTAACGGAAGTCTTCCCTCAAGCCATTGATCTTTGCAGCTGGACTGACAAAGAATGGCCTTGGACTGCAGCTAGACGAAAGCCCAGAGGTGTTCTTCACCTGGTTAACTCACAGCCGGCATGGGTAAGGCCTGGAGGCCTCAGAGCTGGGAGCCTTCTGCTCTTCTTTGCCTACCACAGGGGTTTCAGCCACCTTTCTCCTAAGTTCCTCAAGTATATCTTCTCTCCCTCCTACTTCTTCTGCCTTTCCTGGGAGACTGAATTCAGGGCCTCACTCTTGCTAGGCACTCTACCACTTGATTCATGCCCCCAGCCCCTTTTTGCACTGGTAACTTTCAAGACAGGATCTCACTTTACATTTGGGCCAGGCTGCACTATGATCTTCCTACTTGAGTTTCCCTATTGTCACTAAAGATGACAGGTAATTCACCACTGTGCCTAGCCATTGGTTGAGATGGAGTCTCATGCCCAGGCTGGCCTCAAATCACAATCCTCTGATGTTTGCCTCTTAAGTAGCTGGGATTACAGGCTTGAGCTACCACACCATACCTGTCTTGAGAACTCTTTGTCTTTTACCTAGCTGTTGCTATCCCAGATATTGTTAGGAATCTAAGCTGCTCATTATAAATTACCCAATAACCCTGACATGTGCTGAGCCCCAGGAACCCATGAAGGAGCCCAAAGCTGGGGTTTTATATCCTCTGAACCCCAGCCTTGAAGGTCTCAGGAAAAGGTAACATGAGTATTATTCAAAGGAGGATCCCTGGGGGAGGTGGGGAGCGTCCTAGCTCAGGTGACTTCTACCTGGTGTGGTACCACCCCAGTTCTTCTCCTGGCCTCGGTCACTCGGATCAATAGTAGGGCTTCCTGTTTCTACCCTTTCTCTTCCACCTTCTCCCAGACTATAAGCTGACCTCTCCTCCATCCCCCTCCCCCTAGGGTCCCTGCCTCATCCCGGTCCCTACCCCAGTCTGCACAACTGATGCCTTCTGGGGCACGCCTTGCAACTAACTGGTAAACCTTAGGTCCTTCATGTGACATCTCAAGCCCTCCCCATGTAGCATCCAGTTGCCTTTCTGCTTGCTCCCCTTTGAGGGTTCTAGGTCCCAGTCGCCCTTCTCCCCCCTCTCTCCCAGCTAGAAGCTAAACGCGGGACTCTTCCCTGTGCCTCCAGTCCCAGTACTGGACCAGACACCAGAAATGAGCTCTGGGACCCTGAAACACCTTCTCAGAATGCCCTGGGAACACACCCAAATGTGACCTGACCCCAGCACTTACCCCCCCCCCCATGTCTACAGATGACACAGCCAATACTCACTTTGGCTCCAGGTGGACCAGGCAGACCTGGGTTTCCATATGGCCCAGGAGGACCCTGAAGAGGAAAAAGGAAAAGTGAGAGAAAATAGTAACAGTCATCCACTTCCAACAGCACTGCCTGAGCATGAGAAGTACTGCCATAGCTATTCTGCTCCTTTGAGGAGACCCTGAGTGCCTAGACCTGTGTGAGTGCATCCCACACATTATTTAGTTTCGCCCTATTCACCTATAAGGAGGAGGCTCAGCATTACTCCTGGAACAAGAAAGCTGGAGCTCACAAGTATTTTGCGGATTTGCTTGCTTGCTTGCTTGAGGAGGGGTTGGCGGGCAGGCGGGGGGAGGGGGGTGTTAATCTCAGGGCTTGTGTACTGTGCCTAAGCTTTTGTTGTTCAAGGATAGCACTTCCAGCTTTTGGTGGTTAATTGGAGATGAGTCTCACAGAATTTCCAGGCTGGGTTTGAAGCACAATCCTCAGATATATCTGATCTCAGGACAAAGCCTGGGCCTTGGAGTTACACCTCTACTCCACATTCAGAGAGTATGGCCTGACCCATCAGCCCTTCCCAGCCTCTCCGGACTTCCACCATATTAACTATTTATTTTTCCTCATCACCTGGCCCATGCTGTCTCCATCATCCTTTTAGCAGGAGCCTAGACTCATTCTTCAAGGCCTGGCTCAAGTCCATCTCCTCCAGGGAAACTTCTAGAACTGCTCCAGCCTAAAGGGACTCCTGCAACCTTTGAACTCCCACTGGCTTCTGCAGGCATCTTGAGAGATGAAAGATCACAGAAGGGTGGATGTGGCCCCTGTGTCCTGTGGTCACAGCACATGGTCAGAGCTGTCCCTTAAGATGGACACGCTCTAACTATTCCAGGTACCACCATGAAGCAGCTGGGAGGCTGCACCTAGAGAGTCCAGGGGCCGCCATTGCATAGCAGAGTTGTGGCCAAGCGAAAGCAGAGTCCTCTGGCTGCTGGCTACCAACTCCCAATGCCCTTGGACAGCTGGCTCCTGTCATGCCCTCTTTCTCCAGCCAGAGTCCAGCTGCAAACTTCTAACCCAGCAACACAAACCCCTCAGAGACGGCTCACACCCGGGGGTCTCTGCCCAGCAGCAATCCTCAGGGCACCTGAAAGGGTTCACCGATTCCCCACTCCCACCAGCCTCTCTGCACAGGCTCATCCCAGCCCCCTGGGCTCAACGAGCCAGCTGTGTATGCAGTTCCTTCCTTTCTCCTGTCTAAGGCCAACTTCCCAGCTGTAGCCTGTCACGTTCCCTGCCTGCCTGCCCGAGGCACCTCCCTCTTTAGTGGGACCCTCCCCTTCTCCAAATGCATTGGGAAGGAACAGTGTCTGCAGCGCCCTTAGCCTAAGGAATGTACAAGTGCCACATCTGACCCTCCTTCTAAAATCATCTGCCCTCGTAGGCCCTCCCCACAGCCCACCAAAACACAGTCTCCTGGCCTGTGAATGGAACTTGGATGTCAGGGCCTCACCCCAGTTTTGAGTCCCAGCCTCCATCTCCCCCCTCCCCATCCGTATAGCCTCATCCTTCCCCCACCCCATCTGTGCTGTGAATAACTGGGATCTAGGGGTCTCTAAGAAGTCTGGGAAAAGCCAGGCTGGGGACTAAACACAGGGTCTGAAGAGATGACTCTGACGACCAGTACCCACCCATTCCACCAGCCAGGCCCAGGGTGACTGCCTGATCTCAGTTGTGCTCCCCCCTCCACTGCTCCAGAGGAGTGACAGAGTACTCAGTCACCCCATCTGCAGCTTGTGGCACCCTCTTCCCGATACACACACACCTCCCCACCCACTCCAGCCACTGCCTTGAAGAAGAGAGAGAGGGAGAGGGAGAGAGAGGAGAAACGAGACATAGTTGACTGCAAGCCAAGCAGACAATTCTATAAATGTCACAGCCCAGAAAGCTGGTTGGGGGAGGGAGAGGGGTTCCCCAATGTCCCTGGATGGACGAGGGAGGATGTGGAGGTGGGAAAGGACGGGACCGCATGGCTCTTGATGACCTCAAAGGAGATCCTGCATAGCCCAGAGCCCCAGAGTTGCCATCTGTCCATCCGCACTGGGATTATTGCAGGCAACGTTCTATTATCTGTGGAATTTAATGATCTATGGAATTTCCAGGCTAGAAACAGGATGGGGGGGGGAGGGGCAGGCAGTGCGCCTAAAAGTCTAGCTGAAAAACTTAGCTGCCCAGAGCTGTGAAGAAATGGGAAGGGCCTGGAGTTCCCAGACTGGGGAGACTGAGGCCAGGAGGAAAGAAAGGACTTGCCTAAGATCGCACAGCTTCTAGGTGGAATGTTCCTGACTTCCAGATGCAAAAGCGTTGCCAAACATCTCTGAGGAGGGGGAGGGGAAAGCAGAGACTTGGTTGGGTAGACAGAAAAATTAACACCATAGATGGTAAAGATGGTAGGCCTTAAAGCCAGACTGCCTGGGCCCAATCCCGACTCTGGCAGTCACTCTGACTTCATTCAAAGGTAGCCTTGAATAAAGCTTTCTTAGCTTCAGTTTTCTCATCTGCAAAAGGAGACCACTGGACCCTGTTTCCTGGGATGGCTGGAAAGAGAATGAAGTCACCAGTGAAAAAGATCCAGTGGGTGATGGGAATCTTTAGGCAGCAATCCCAGGCATCGGGGGTGGGGAGGGGCAGGTAGGGTCCCTAAGGAGCTCCAAAGAGGGGTGATCATAAGAACAGAGGATAGCCTGAATGGACACAGAGCGACCAGGCAGAGGACAGGCAGAGCACAGCTGAGGGGCTGGCAGGCTCAGGGAGGTTGGAAAGCAAAGGGCAGGATGCCTGGACCTAGATTGTTAGGTCAAGGGGCCTTCGTGCTGTTCCAGGCTGTGAGGTCCCGTGTCTAAAAGCCTTCTGATGCCTGTGTAGTTCCACCCTCCCCACCCCCAACTCTGGGCATGTGCTTCCTGGTGGCTCTGAAGCCAGGAGGAAATGCAGGGCAGATGGCAGATTCCTGAGCCAGGACCCAGGGAACATAGGGCCAGATCTGAAAGGAACAAGAGCCCAAGTAATTGCATAACCAGAACCATCCACTGGGCCCAGGGCTAAAAATACACCCCAAGCCGTCACCTCTGCCAGCACCTCGCCAGGCACCCAGCGTGGGAAAGGCTGATTCAGCTTGGGCATGGATTTGCATGGGTGCCAGTGTTCCCAGCCACCCCCAACACAGACCTCCCCAGGGCCCCTGCATTTATTTGCATAAGAGCCTGGGTTTCCATCCTGACTACGTCTGTCTCTTATCCCTTGTGGCAGTGGTCACCCTGGCCTCCAGAGGTTCAGGTCAGGAGAGGGGTCAAATGGGACTGAGTATGTGGAGAGACTTAACAGCTCCACTGTCACTAGGGTTAAGCTGGCTCACAACAGACATCATAGCTTATCTAGGCTCCCTCCTGGGATAACTCACCTCAGGACACATGTCCAACCTCCCAACAATCCCAGGAAGAAACACTACCTACATCAAGCTTTGCTGAGACCAGTCCCCCCACAAGCCCAAGGAGATGGTCTTCAGGATCCCCTTCCCCATCCTGGGCTCTCCTGGGACTGCCTCCCCCCCCCCCCCCACACTATCTACTACATCCATCAGCAAGGCTCCATCCATCACATGGATCCTGTTCCTAATATATTGACTGAACAATGGAGGCTAGCAAGGGGCAGGGAAGTGAACACTTGGCTGGAACTTCGGAGCCGTTGGTCGGGCTATCGCCAGAAGAGCTCACTTACCCGAGGCCCTCGTGTACCGGGAGGTCCAGGTAACCCAGGCAACCCTGGGGGACCCTACAGGAGAAAGCAAAAAGTCAGCATCACACAGTATCCCTCTCTCCCCTCCCCCCAAAAAACCTCAAAAAACAGCATGCAACATTCATGCAACAATCCCATCCAGAGCTCTGAGCATGGAAACCCCGTGGCTGAGCAGAAGCCACTGAGGTCCCAGCTCTGAGGAACTCATGCTCTTTGGGGGCTTTTAGGCCTTGCAAAACCCAACAGCTGGTCTTTCTCAGTCTCTGAAGCCTCTGTCTTCTTTCACCTGTCCTGGGAGCACCTTTGCTCAACCACATTGGATAGCTCCCCCATTCCCGGCAGGAAAAAGGCCTCATCCTGAAGTGTGGCACTTCACCAACACCCATCTAGCCTCATCTCTCCCCTACTTCACACAGGAAAGGAAGCAGCCAGGCAGTTTAAGCTCCTAGGCCAACCATTATTCCCTACTGATTTTACCGATGTCGGAGCTGGGGGCTTTGTACAATCCCTTCCGCCTGTCTGAGTCCCCTTTAAAATGGATACAACAGCCGCTGTCTCATTTCACCCCCAGAAGCAGTAAAAGGATTAACCAGCGTCTCAAGTGACAAACGGGAGCCCAGGGCCTTCAAGGAAGCCCAGCTTTCGAGGATGTGTGAGGCCTGGGGAATTCATTTGTTTCAAGTAATGATCAGCAAAGATTCCAGGTCTCCTGCCCAGAGTTAGACCCAGTGTTGAAAACTCAGTGAGCTTTTTGGCTGGTAATTAATCCCAATCTCACGCTGGGCAGCCTCGGCGGGGAGTTCTGGCCTATGAACACATCCGGGACCACTCATCCATAAGTAAAATTCACCGGAGAGATCCAGATGAGCAGATATGGGACAAGAGCCCCAGGGCAGGCAGGAGGAGCCCTAGCATGGCCTCAGGCAAGTTCTAGGCTCCTCTAAGTCTTGTGCCCACAGCCAACCTGTGGGCAAGACTGCCCCTGGCCATCCTGCACACACACTTGAACTTGAACTCAGGGCTGGGTGATCATTTCTAGTTCTGGCTTGTGGGTTTGGGGATGAGGCCAGGGTGTCCTCCCCTTTTCCCGAGCTGGCTTTGGTGGGAGCCATGGTGTAAAACGCAGCCTTGGGCTCATGCTGGGCACCCCGTGTACTAGTTGAGTGGCACTGTGCCAGCTACTTCCTGTCTCCAGGCCGGCATAACTGTCAGATGAGGGTAATAATAGCACCCAGCCGCAGATAATCTGTAAACGCGCTAATCCGGTGCCTGGCACAGTGAATGCTCAATGCTGTTACTTCTAGGGAGCAGCTCCTGGAACTTTCCTACTCCAAAGCTTAAGCCACCTTCTCCTTTCTACATCTGTGTTGGAGGGGGAAGAAAAAGAACATGCTGCCCATTTCCTAGAAAGCCCCCCTTGACCCAATTCTCCCAGGTGACCCAGAATTAAAGGGGAAATGCTCTGGGCAAAGGCTACGTATTGCTGTGCCCTTCTGATAGGTAAGAAGCCAGAGATGGCTCAGAGAGGCAAAGGGATTTGCCCAAGACCACACAGCTAACAAGAGGCAGAGACTACATTCAAACCCAACACCACTGGGCTTATTTTCCTTCTCAGGGCAGCTTCCCCCCACACAGTGCTCTTTAGATGTGTAGCTTCAAGGGTCCTCCTTCTGTGGGTATCTACAAAGTGATCACTCCCCCCCCCAAAAAAACCACTTGGACACTGGCATTTTCTAGGTTTAGGGGAGCTGGGGTCAGGGTCATTAGGTAGAAGAAAAGTGACATTATTCAGAGAAGGTCCTGCCACAGGGCTGAGGGGAGGGGCAGGTGCCCGTGTGGGACAGACGGAGCTGGGGAAGTCTGCACTCTTGCCATTTCTCCCACCCTAGAAATGGGGGCATCTGCGCTGGACTCTGACGTCATCCACCACATCTACAGTACCAGTCAAGACCCAGAGGCCAGCCTGGTGACATCAGCCGGGAGCCTGACTTGTGACAGTCCAGTCCCCCACCCTTCCTCCTCCCCCCACCCCCAGCTGTGGCCTCTTTAGTCCCTCCACTCCATCAGCTTCGGGGCTGGGCACCTCCATGCAGCTCAGTGCAGGAGGCTCGACTGGCCCCCATCTGCTCAGTGCCCACTTTGTTAACACAGGGGAGGGCAGCTGCCCTGTGCCCCCTCCTGCAGCCAAGCCCCTGCCTGTTCTCCATGCAGTGGAAAAATGCTGCCGTTTCTTTCCAGGCCTGAAGCCTGAGTGGTGACTCTGGGATGATTCACGGGCCGGGGTGGGATTTTCCACTCCACGCTGCAAACAACGGGGCCTCAGAGAGGGTGCAGGGCAGAGGGGGCAGGGAGCAGGGGCTGCAGGCCTGCCTGGCTGGGGAGGCAGAGGAGGCCTGGACTTGGGTGCACGCACACATGGTGATGGAAACTCCAGCCACTCCTCTGGCCTTCCCCCTGCCCTGCCTCCTCAGAGTCTTGGCCTCCAGCAGCCAGACCTAGAGAAACCCCTTCACACAGAACAAGACCACCCTTGTGCCCAGCTGGTCTTGCAGAAAGAAGTAAGTTCTGGCTGGCATCTTCCTAACAGTCAGGGAGCAAGGAGACATTTCACAGGCCTGGGATCTGCGAGCTCAGAGTCCACGCCTGGGGATGCTATTCACTGCCATGTAGCCTGAGCAATGACCTCGGGGTCTCGGGGCTTCTGCTCTGGGCCTATAGCCTCGTGAGGGTGAGCAGGAGGCCTGAAAGGGCCATCCCCTGTGACCACTGAGCTCCAATTATTCCCAAGACTCGCCACCCAGTGCAGAGCATCTAGGGGCCTGAGGGACAGAGCTGTCCCACAGGAATTCATAGGAATCCAGTTCTGTGTGTGGCCCAGGTTGCAATACCTTGCCCTCTGTGTGTCCAGCTTTGAAAGGAGTACACAAGAACCTAGCTTCTGCCAGAACAGGTACTCACTGGCTTCTTCCCTTGCCCTGGGGGATGAGTTCTGCAGACTGTGTGCCAGACTCTGCATGTCGGCTCTCTGGCTTCCAGTGGAGTTTGGCTAATGGAGACGGAGACCCCCCCCCCCCCCCCATCCCTGCGCTTCCCATCCCCGGCCCTGCACCTGTCACCAAGCAGATGCTTGCTGGTGGCAGGGAAAGGACAGAGTATTTTTCACCCGGGCCCTCCCTGTTGAGCTTTACTATGATCCCAGGTGTGAGACATCCCTCTCCCCTTCTTCTGCTTCCCTCAGGTCTGGTTGCCACAGATGACACTTTGCTGCATTCCCAGGACCCTGGGCATCACCAGCCCCTGCTGGTTCCTTCTGTATTATACATAGAAAACCATAACGCCTCCTCCTAAGATGCCACCTCACCCCTATGCCCTGCTGGAGCTCACAGGCCAGCATAGACTTTGTCCTGTTCACGGCATGAGCCTCCAGGGCCTGCCAAAGCTGGGCAAGGCAGCTGTCCACATTCCTGTATCTCAATGACACCATGCCTGGGGCGATCTCAGGCTCTGATCGCCACTTCTCCCCATAGGAAGTCTGAGGGCCCCAGAGATGGCAGGAAGTACCCAGTACACTATCAAAGCCAGTCCAGAAGTACGCTGAGTGCAAGTAGAGAAAGTAGAGGAGGTCACCCCTAAATCCCTCCTCTGCAGCAGACCTATGGCATCACTTACCCACTCTCATCTGAATTCTCCTTGCTCTACCCATGAGCCCCAACAATTTCCCCACTCAAACCCCACCATTAGCACCAATCAAAGCCCTGGCAGCCTACTCAGATCCAGGTCCCAATTCTGGTTACATCATCTCACTGAAGCCATAGGTACGTCATACCATATCCTCATGTACCAGGGCAGAAACAAATGAAGGCTCCGAGAAGTCAAGTGATCTGCCAAGAGTCACACAGCACCATGTATCCAGGTATTCCATCAACATTCGTGCTAAGAAAGAACGGATGGCTGGTTCCCATCCAGGTCATCCCAAATCAAAGCTTACATGCTTTGCTTAGCCACAGGGCCTCTCAAATTCTATGTAACCATGGGAGGCTGGTGTGGGAGTAGAAACAACCTGGTATTTGTAAGGATCTGATTTCTTCCATCATTTCACAGATAGTCACAGAGCCTTTGCTGCGGCTAGGCCTCAGCCAGCCTCCCCAAGGTGATGCTAACAGAGGCGCAGTGTGTGCAAATGCCAGAGGCCGGATGGTGGATGAATAAGAAGGCGCCTCACCTCCTCCCTGGTAGGGCTTCTGTGTAGCTTCTGTGCAGCTCTGTGAGCCACAGCCTCCCTGCCCGGCTCAGCTTTTCCATACTCCCCTCCTGGGACTCCCACAGATCAGCTCACATGGTGGCTCCCACAATTGGCAGGCCTCACCGAGCTGTCTTGGCCTCTGACAGGCAGCCTCCTGCTCCCGCCTGAGGATCATGGAAGCTGGCAGCCCCAGCCCCAGAACTCTCTCAAGCTCCTTTCCCCAGCACCTATTACAGAGAGAGCCCCGGCAGAGAATCCCCTCCTCCCACCAAAAAAAATCCTGCTGCATAAGCAGAGATGGAGCCACAGCCCTCCTTCCTACAGCAGCTGCCCACACAACTGGGCAAATTTTCAGGAGAGATGGTCTACAGAAATGGCACTTCAGCGTAGGTAAAGCCCAGAGTGACTGGTGGAGCTAGGATGTGAACCCAAGTCTGTCATACAGGGTCTCTGGGCTCAGATCCTGAACGGCTCAGAGAAGATAAGGGAGGAAGCAGGAGGATGGGTATTCATGCCATCGTTGCTCAAAGATGCCTCTTCCAGCATCATTCCACACATAGCCAAAGATTCCTGGTTCCTAGTTGACGTGGGCCAGGTTCCAAGCTGGGGTGCAGATGAGGGTATAAGGCAGAGACAGCACCTGGGTAGACAGGTGCCATCCTCTCTCTTGCCCTTGGCAATCAGGGCTGGAGGGACAGAAAGAGCTTTGGCCTTAGCTTGAGGTTAGGAACTCCGAGCAGCATCCCAGCCTCTTCAAGAACATGCTGGAACAAGTCCCTGGTCTGACCCACCTCAGAACACTCTAGGGGGGTGTGGGGGAGGGGAGGCAGGACTGGCACATGCATTCTGTCCCAATCAACCAATAGAGATTCCATGCAGGAGGAAGTAGCTCCTCAATTCAACCAGTCATGGAAACAAAGGATTCTTTTACATTGAGCTCTCCCTCCGAGGCCAAGGACAGAGTGGCTTCACCTAGGAAGCTCCCACCTCCCAGCCCCGAGTCTCAGAGTAGACACGCAAGATATACTGAGTGTGAGCCTAAAGTATACATTTCAACTCAGCCTCCTATGTGCTGTGTGGCTTGTCCTGGTCCTCTCTGGCCACAGTCTTCTGTCTCTTCATCTGCCCAAGGGGGAGGGTTGAACCTACCCTACAGGGGTCAACTAACTGAGCCAACCCCAGTATTTTCTTAATAGAGAAGCTCAAGGAGGAACTGGCAGGCTAGACTCAAATGCCAAGGGAAAGAATAGTTCTGGCATATGTATGCCTGAGGCAGGTCCTTATACCCTACTTGCTCTTGCTTCAGTTCTGCTTGCCTGGCCATGGCCTTGGCCTCGCTCTATACTGCCAATGGCCTGGAGAGGGAGGACTGGTTTCCTCTACTTGGCCAGGGCCTGCTGTGTGGTCTGAGCTTGGGCCCAAGGCTCCTCTGGCCTGTCAGAAGGTGACAATTCACCCCTTTCAGCCTCATGGCCTGAGCACAGTTTGGGAAACTGGCTTGTCAGGACCAAGGCCACCTAGGGCCAGGGTCAGTCTGAGCAGTCTGGGAAGTAAAAAGGCTCCTTGTCCTTTTCTTGGGACTATGGTAGCTCCGGGATCTCAGGGCTGCCAGCTTCAGAACATGGAACTTGAGCAGAATGTTGACATAATTGTAAAGCAATGCATAGCATTTCCATAAAGCCTCCAATATGGTTATAATAAAGGCGGATTCTCCATCCCCTTGGAGACGGAACTGAATAAATATTATTCCTTATGATTATTCAAACTCAGGAAGTGTGTTTGTAAGGCCCGGGAATTCCCAGCATCTGCCACTGTCTCCACATTGTGGGAGCCCTAACCTCAAACACAGAGCCCAGTGGGAGACCCAGCTCCAGGGAGGGGGGAAAGGCCACTGCATGATGGTCATCTCCATTGAAGGAGGAGAGAACAGAGGCTGCTGGAGCCTTCTGGAAGCTCCATCCCACCAATCCCCACCCAGAGGAATTGCCTTCCAGCTGTGGGAAGGTCGTTGCCCCTAGAGACAGTTCTAGAGGCAAACCAGAGATATCAACCTTGAGACCATCTCCTGTACAGGAATGTTTCTTTCCTTCTGCCCTCCCATCTTCCCTCCCTTTCTCCCTTCTTCCCTTTTTCCTTCTTTCCTTCCCTTCCTCCCTCTTTCCCTCCTTTCTTCCTTCCTTCTTTCCTTGTTCCTCTCACCCATGCTGACTTTCCTTATCATGGACTCCTTTCCTAGGGGACACAAATCAAATGCCTATGGGTACCAGCCAGGCAGGTAAGCAGTGTGCTGGAATACTCAAATGGGAGGAGGGGGAACCCGTGGGTACAGGAAGCCTGTCCCATCTGCTGGGGCCACTTAAAGGCCACCCTATCTCCCATTTTCCCAAAAAAAAATGAGTTCTACAAGTCTCATTGACCATTTTTAAATGTCAGTAACAACTAGATTTTCTTTTAAAGAATGTTGCCTGTGCCAAGCAAAACATATCTAGAGCTTGTCCTCCGCAACCTTTGTCCACAACTCCCAGACAAGCTGCTGGCTACTGAGGCCGGGTCAGGAGCAGGAGGGCTGGTTCCAGAGACTACTTGGCTGCTTCTCTAAGACAAGGGCCAATCTGTTATTGCCTTTCTGAAGCCACTCGGCCTTTGCAGTTGGGTTAGCAGCAAATGACCTTGAACCTGGGCCAACCAAAGCCCAGAGATTGTTGTTGTTGTTGTTGTTGTTGTTTTCAGGGTGGGGGTTATCACTCCTCAGTGGTGTCAATGGCTCATGAATCTACAGCAAAATGTGCAATCATAGAGACAGGGGATCCGGTGACAGGAACTGGGTTCAAGTCAAGGCTTGACCTACAACCAGCTCCTGGTTCTAGTTTGCACTTTTTCCCTTGCCATTACCAGCAGCAGTCTCTCTTTTTATTTATTCTTCTTCTTAGGGGGTTTGAACTCAGGACTGTATGCTTGCTAAGTAGGCACTCTACCACTTAAGCTATGCCCCAGCTCTTTTTGCATTGATTCTTTTTCAAATAAGGTCTTGACCCCCCCCCCCCAACACACTCCCCTCCCCCCTCACCTCCCAGGCTGGCCTGGACAGCAATCCACCTACTTATGCTTCCTAAGTAATTAGGATGATAGAGTTCCCAGCCTCTTGTTCCAAACTGCCCACCCACCCAGACCCCACCAGACTTACTGGCAAGCCACAGTCTCCCTTGGGTCCTGGAGGTCCCAACAGCAGGGGGAAAGGTGTGGGTCCGGCAAGGTGAAAGAAAGAGTAGCCGCTGTTCGTGGGCCAGGAACTGGAGCTCAGAACTCGCGCTGGAGCCAAAACCGGAGCTGGAGTAGTCTGCCGACTGGGCCTGGTGGTCAAGTCTCTCAGTGGGACATCCCCGAATGTTTCCCCAGACCAGAAGGGAACAGGATTCCGGGGACTGCTCTTGGACCCTGCTTTCTTGGAGGCCTCCAATCCGGTGGGCTTCTTGCTTCCAGTGGCGACTGGACCAAGAGCAAAGGTAGGAGGTGCTGTTCTGGGAGTTCCAGTGTGTGAGGTTGGAGACACGATGGTGGTGGCTGCTGGCCGAGCGGTTCTGGTGGAGCCAGAACTGAGGGCAGGAGACTGGTGCAAAATAGTGGCCTGGGGAGGTTTGGGGGTGCTGGGACGGGCAGAGACTGGCTTGCCAGCACGGCTGGTCAGCTTGGCCTCTGTTTGGGCTACTGGGGGAATAGACTTTTTAGAGGAGCCGGAGGCAGGTGGCAGGGGCCGGGCACTGGGCAGTGGAGGTCGTGGTGTCTGGGGACCCCTCTGCGTTGGCTTCCCCTGGGCACCAGAAGCTATGGCAAGAGCCGGGACGGAGGTGGGACGCACTGGCTTCTGGGAGGGTGGGGCTGACTTTGTGAATGAAGGGGGAGCTGTCTTCAGGGTAGGATGGGGGCTTTTGGCATGGGTGACTGAAGGAGCTGAAGGCTTAGGGTTCTTGGTGGCTGAGATCTTCTGCCGTGGCTGGGCAACAGCAGGACGAGGAGTTTGGGTGGCGCTGTTCAGAGATGCCGGGGGCAGGGGAGGAGGTGCTTTTCTGGTGGACAGCTTCGCAGGTGGCAGTGGGGTCCAGGCTGGGTCTCCCCTAGCACTATGCTGAGGAGGGTCTCCAGGGTTAGTCCTTAGGGGCTTGAGGGGTGTGGCCGGAGCCACCGTTGCTGTGGGCACCCTGCCTGTGGGTCGTGTCCCCAGGGCTGGGGTGGCAGAGGTGAGGTTTTCCAGACCAAGAAAGGCCAAGTCAGGCTGGAAGGCAAAGGGACTGCCAGAGTCCCGAGGGAAGGGGGCCCCCAGTTGGGGCCGGTACAGATCGGCGCGTCCACACTGCCGCCTCAAATGGGCACAGTAATTATGAGCGACCTGCGCCACGGGGTGGACACTGAACTGGCAGAGGGCACCCTCAAACTGGACGGCGTGAGGACTCATCTTCCCCAGGAGGAAGGAGCCCTGGGGGTCAAGCGTGGGGTCCCTCTGGAAAGGCAGCGGGATGGGCACGCGGCGGCGTCCACAGGCCGTCACCAGGGTGACGGAGCGGCTGCGGAACTCGAGGGCCAGGTGATGCCAGCGCCCGTCGTGCAGGTCGAGGTCGAAGGCCACAGAGCGCCGGGGCCCCAGGTGGACGACCGTCTTGCCCGGGAGGAACTGCAGACCCAGCTGCAGCCTATGCCTCCGGTTGCGGACGGCGAAGAGGAAGGCATGGTTCACACGGTGGGAGCAGAGGCTCAGCACCAGCGCCAGCTTTGTACCCAGGGCAGCAGGAAGGACAGCGGCCGTGGGGGCCTGCAGCCGGGCCCGCTGCGTGAAGATGAAGCCTGACTGGAATGGAATGATGCCCGGGGGCACAGGGCTCCGGCTGCCCCCTGCCTTTGTCCAGCTGAGGCCCAGCCTCTGGAGGACGTCCACATCTGGGAGGGAAGGGGAGAGAAGTGAACAGTTAACATGAACATGACACCGTTAGCCACGGGGTTCTCCTCACACATCCAGGCTGGCATTGTCACCCTCTGATCTGTACTACAGCCCCTTGTCCAGCTGCATGGCCTTGCAGGTGAAGGCTAAAAACATCGACTTCCTGGGTTCAAGTCCCAACTCTGCCTTTTCTTAACCCTGAAACTTGAGTGCTTCATTTCCCCCCTCTATCAATTAGAGAACCCATCTCAGAAGTATGTTGGCATGATTCCGTGAATGAATATACTTGTTTTAAGAAAAGAGTCTGGCCAGGCGCCAGTGGCTCACACATGACCCTAGCTACTCAAGAGGATCATGGTTTGTAGCCAGCCAGAGCAGCCCAGGGAGAACCAGAGCCACGGCAGGCAGATAGGTGAGGGTCCCTTCTCACCCTCTCTGGCTGGGCTCCAAGGCTGAATAGTAGGCAGTCTCCAGGGGTCCCAGAAGACTATTGCTAAAGCCCCACACTCTGAGTCAGGGTCTGCTGTGAGTTCTCTCAGCTCTGCAAGCCCCAGGGAGTAGGGAAGGACCGTGCTTACCCAAATCTCTCAGGGAACAAAGTCATTGATAAAAACAATTCAAACAAGCATGCCTTGTGTGCATCTCCTCACTCGTGCCCCCAAGATCTGCTGGTGCCCACTGGGCAGAGGAGTTCGAGGCAATAACTTCACCCAAGTTGTGTGGCTTTGATGGCACCACTGAAGTAAGAACCTGGACCCCCTGTTCCTAACCACCAGAGGGGAGACATATCCAGAGTCCTGGTGAGGGGCAGAGCCGGGGGACAGGGAATGAACTCAGCCTTACACCAAGATGTGAAGGCCAGGCCAGCTGGCCAGAGTGAGATCCCTTTATTACATAAACCTGGCCGGGTACAGCTCTGCTCTCCCACCCCCATGCCTGACTCAGGACTCTGGACAGCTGTTCACCTACTTTGTCAGGGGAAACAGCAAGCTTGGAAAATATGACGTGTGCAAAATATTGCCAGGCTTCAGAAGTCTCTTCCGGGTATGGCCCTCCCCTCCCAGGGACCCAATCCCTGCCCAGGGGCCAGGTCAGCCCACAGGGATACCCAGAGTGCCTGTTGCCTGCTCCAGAATGCATGCAGCTGTGGAGGAAGGGGGGGGGGAGGAGTGGCTATTTTAAGAGGCATCGTGGCCTCTTGACAAACAGATGTGGGGGAGGTTTGGGTTTGCATGGGCAGCTATGAGTCCAGCCTACGGCTGTCCTGGTCCCCTGGACAGCTCCTCAGAGACAGGCGGGAAAGCAAGACCTCTCAGGAAGGGTCCCAGGCCATGATCGATGACATGTGTGGCCTTCATGTCCCTTAGAAGCAGTTCTCAAAGTACTGATGGGACAAATAAGGACAGCGAAGCCTAAGTATACACTGAAATTGGCCCAGGTGCCCAGAATGGTCCTTCCTCGTTCCTATTCAGAGCCCTCAAAAGCTCCCTTCAAGCCCCAAAAGGGATGTACCCATAATTGACTCCATTCTCCTGATGGGAAAACTGAGACCCTGACTTCCAAGTCAGGCCATAGATATCTGCTATACCTGAGTTCTCGGGCTCCTTCCGCCCTCCTTTGTCTGTCCCTGGACAAAGAGAAGACAGAATTACCTTCAGGAGCTCCTTGGGTGGAGGCCAGGTGACAGGCAAACGAGACCAAGATCCAGGCGAAGAGAAACCCCCTGGAGACAGACACAAGCGGGCATCAGCTTCCGTCCGGGGGTAGGGAGGCAGGGGTGGGGGAGTGGCAGGAGGAAGGGCAGACCAGCCCTCATTCCACTTGTCTCTACTGCAGAAGGCAGGAGGCAAGGGGCCTTAGAGCAGCCCCTACCCCCTGGATGCTTTCAAGCTTTCAAGCTACAGTCATGGCCTCCACCACAGAGCAGGGCCCGTGGAATACTAGTCCAGCTTCTTCTTACAGATGTAGAAAGCAAGGTCAGGAAGCTCAGAACCCAGCTCCTCCCCCTCCCTGGACACAAGTCTCCCCATGTGCACAACTGTATGGGAAACCCTTCCCTAGACACCAGCCCACAGATGGCAGGCCAGGGCTGCTTCCATGATCATGTCCTAAAAGGGCAGAGAAGAGAGGAGACCCCTTCCTAGGTGGTAGGTACTGCCATAGCTGGCTTCAAGCTTAGGGTAATTGGGAGGGAGCCAGGCAGCCCCACTGCTAATCTAGTCCTGGGACTTCCCAGCTGTGTGACCCCAGATGAGTCACATAGCCTCCCTGAGCCCAGCTCATCCTCTGCAAACGGGCTGACCCTCCCTATCCTGAACACCAGGCACCGGGGCTTAAGTCAGCTCATGCATGTTTAGGGCTCACTCTGATGCCAGCCACAAAAAGTGCTCTGGAGCTGGTCCTGGCTGCCTCCACAGGCTGGGACAGGAAGAGTTAAAGCTCCACTCGGGGACTTTTGCCAAGAGGGTCACAGGCAACGATCTGATTTCATCTTCCTGTGGGAGCAGCCACTACTGACACCTGAAGCCACCCAGAGCATCTGATCCCCGGGCAAGCAGAAGAGAGGGCAGCAGGTAGCCAGAGATGGCTGGGATGCAGACAGGGAGAGCAAGGCCAGGTGGCTGGTGAGACCTGAGGCTGGGAAAGGCCCAGCATCCTTTCCCAAGAGCAAGGCCAAGATTGGTGTCATGCCATTAAGGAACCCCAGAGCCCATGTTGAGGGCGACCCAGGTTCTATCCAGGCTCTCAGAGCACCTTAGAAAACAAGCTCACATCCCTCGAACTTCCTTCCTTCCTCTGCTGTCAAAGAGAATAGCAATTATGACCTTAATGCTGAGAGAGAAAGTGCTCTCTAATCCAGGGCTTCACAGGACCCTGGGTAAAGTTGGATGTGCCAAAGCCACTTCTGGGAACTTCGTTTGCCTTGCCAGTGGCTGATTTAAGCATGCATATATGACTCAAATGTGGTCAATGAGATGTGAGCGATGCCTGTCAGGCATCCAGGGGAAGTGTTTCAAAAGAACAGAGAGGTTTTCTTCTAGCCTCTGCGTGTTGTTGGGGGAGGACATACTGCTTGGAGTTGCTACAGCCATTTTATGCACGTGAGGTAGCAAGTCCCATTGAGGAGTAGAAGGAAGGAAAAATCATGGGTGTTGGATTAGACTGGAAAGATGCTGAATTAACCAACCCTACACCTGATCCCTCTCCAGGCCTTATTGTTTAAGTCATGTTGAGTTGAGTCTGCAATTACTCGCAGCTGAAGGCACGCTGGCTGAAGCAGTGGTGGATGCTAAGGACCCTTTTCCTTTGGCCGGTCAATTGGCACCACCTGTTAAGACGGATGCCTTGTATCCTTTGTTATGTCCCCACCACATGGGTATCCCAGAGGGCAAAGCCATCTCCATCTGTCCCTTTCTTTCCTGTCTCCCTTGCCCTGGGCAGGCATTCGGTGTGTGTGTGGGGGGGGGGGCATTCGGGGTGTGTGTGTGTGTGTGTGTGTGTGTGTGTGTGCGCGTGCGCGCGTTCAGACTTCTGCAAGGCAAATGGGTATTACCAGATATCACAGGGACTCTGGACAGGATTTTTCCAGTCTCCAAGCCTGCATCCCTGCTCTGGCTTTTCTAGGGCCGGCCCTGGAGGACCTCGATCCTCTCTCTGTCAGATCTGCTGCCACTGCATGGAGCCTTCTTCATGGGCCTGACCTCTGCATCACTACCACGGCTGTCACTGAAAACTTGAGTGTCCAGCCACGCTGAGATTGCCTGGCATGAATGGCAGGCCCCTCTGGCCTGGCTGTCCTGCAGGAAGCCAAGGGCAGCCTTGTGACTCTGGGAAGTTATAACAGGCAGCTATGTTTTATTTGACAAAGTGGAATTGGCCAGAGAAGAGTAGGAGCTTCCTCCTCAATTTATCATGCATCCTTCTCTTTTGATATTTCCTACCAGGAAGATACTCCAGGAAACTGAGGCCTGGGGAAGGCTTTTCCCAGCATCTTTCTGCAGCACACCTACATCCCTCTAAGGCTCTGAGAAGTCCTGCAGTTAGTTACTCCTGCCATTCACTGCCCCTTCCACTTCCCTCTGTTCCTGGGTCATCATTCTTTTCTGTCACTTTCCCTCCAACTTCCTCTCTCCCTGACCCTTTCCTGGCACCAGCCGTCAGTCTTCGAGTGCTTCGCTGGCACTGTGTCACTTCTGCTCATCTCTTCCAGCTGCTAGAGAGCTAGAGAGGAGAAGGGAGAGAGAAGAGGGGAGGGGCAAGCCCCATAAGGGCCTTTCAGGGCCAGTGTTCTGGCTGTGGTTATGCCCAGATGACTTTTGTGGAGCAATTGAGAGTTAATTACAGGGATAAATTACAGGAACCCTTGAGGGTAACTGAGCCCCAAAGGGCAAAAGAAAGAAGACACACATGGGAGATGGGATCGAATCTGCACTTTAGCTGCATCTCATTGAAGAAAGGAACCCGTGAAAACCTGCTAGGAAAAGAATCTGTAGCTCATTACTCTCCACACATGCCCCCGGATCTTGGTCAGGATTCTGGGTAAATGACACATAGACTTCCCCCAATCACTAGAGATCAGATTCTAGCCCCACTGCCTCTTTGGAGAGATGGGCAGCTATGGCCCAGAGGGAAGTCACTTGCCCAAAGCCACCACTGCGCTAAGCCTCTACCACTTAACAAGAGTTCTCATTTGACCTGTCCCCCGTGGAGAAGAAACTGGACACTTGTAAAGACTTCCACTTTCCAGAAACTGAAGTCCCAGCTTTCACCAACAGGATCCGAGAGATGCAGCTGGGAGCCAGCAAGCCATCTGACTAAGCCCGGGCCTGGAAAGTTGGCTCTGGAGGGAAGAAGCTGCGCTTCTTTCTTTGGTCCCAGTCCTGTTTAGGCTACTGTTCCTAGCGCCGAGTGCCTGAGCTGCCTCTGGCTTTGTTCTCCAGACTTGTTTTCACCACTGCCTCGTGGGCCTTGGCTCTGGCCCCAGGGCTCCACAATTCAGGGAAGAACAGAACACAGAGACAGGGGAGCCCAAACAGGAGCTGGGAGGAGGGGAGTCTTGGCCACGAAGTCCTCCAAGGATGAATCTAGGTATTCCTGGCCCCTGCCAGCTCAACACGCACGGCTGCTCCTGGTCGAGTGGAGGCCTGAACCTGCAACTATCTAGATGCTTTTCCCAAGCGACACAAGTCCTGAATATTCACGGAGCCCACGGGGGGGAAGGCAGCCTCTGCAGTCCACGCTCAGCCCTTCTCCCAAGCGCAGCATAGACAGTTGGACCTTTGTGACCCCACCAAATCCTGTATGTCCTGATGGCCACACCCAAGTCTTTCACACCTTCCACCTCTTCCTCCGGCACACACGGACACATGGGTCATCTGTCTGGACAGGATACAGCCCAGAACTTTCCCATTGACTCACTGGCCCATTCAAGATGAAGCAAGTCATAATGCATCTAACAGCTGCCATTTAGTGAGCACTTACTGCATGCCAGGCAGTGTGCTCAGCCCTCTGCAAGCAGGCTCCCACAAAGCCTTGCAAACCCTGGTGGTGTTACTGGGGGGCATGGATGCCTGTTCTGTCACTAAGAAAACAGAAGTGGAAAGGCAGGAGGCCTGGCCTAGCTTCTAGGACAGTGGCAGGATTCAAACGTAAGTCACCACGTCCTCAGGTTCCTGCTCTCTGTTCTATATAGCAGCTGAGGCTGGTGAGGTCCCACAGCGAGGGGACCAAGAGATGGAAGTTGAGAAATCTGCCAACACAATAACCAGAGACACAGAAAACGAGTGGCATTTCAAAGGCAGGGACCATCCAGTGCTCCTCCGGCCCCTGACGGCTGCTGTGGAGGAACATGGGAAGAACGGCAGTGTGGAGGAACAGAGAAGAAAGCCCTGAACTCAAGGAGGAAAGGAAAGACAAGCAGGCCCAAGGTGCACTCCCAGACGGTGCTTGAGGACATGGTCTGAAGGCAGAACTGGTGGCCAGCGGCCCAGGCACAGCGGCCAGGGAGGCACACTAGGCCCTGGATCAGTGTGAGCACCCACTTGCCTCCATCCCCCCACCCCCCCAGAGATGTGCTCCCCTGGTACCACTTTCTCTGTCCAGCTGCTGGCATAGAAGGGGTCTTCTGGAGAAAGTGAGTCAATAGAGTGCTCACTAGGGCCGCTGTGTATGTATGTGTGCAGTGGGTGTGCGTATGTGTGCCTGCGTGAGCGATTGGGGGGGGGGAGGATCTCAAGAAGCCAAGACATGGGGAAGTGGGGAGGGGCGCTTATCCCCCTGATTCCAGCTCAAAGGGGGCGTGGCAAGGCGGGGTGGGCGGAGCTACAGCTCTGAGCGGCCTCCAGGGAGCCCCAGGGTCAGGGGCGGGATGGTAAGACAGTAAGTCCTGTGTGTGAGCCACAGTCCGCCCCCTCCCAGGGCTGCTCCCTTCTCGCGCTCACTCCCACACACACCCACACGCGCTCTTGCACACACACACTCTCTCACACAACACACACACACACACACACACTTCCCGGCCCTCGCCGGGAATCCCAGCCGCTGGATGCCAGCTCTGCGCAGCCCCGCCTCGGAGATTCCCTGCCCCGTGCTGGCCGGCGGTCTCCCCCACATCTGTACAAGGAGAGGCCGGACTTGGGGATGGCCCAAGGCCTTTCTGAATGCTCTGACATGCTGGCTCTCCGTCCTGCCCGCTTACTCTCTGCAGAGGAACGGGAACCAAGAGCTCCTCCCCTCCCCCCCCCCGAAAAGCTGAGAAAAGGTTTGGGACACACAGACCCAGGCAGATACACGGAGGGGGAGGGGGGAGGGCGCAGAGGTTTCCAGAAACTCTGGGACGTGCAGAACCACACAGATACTAAGCCAGGAGCACCCCCTCCCCCGACTTTCCCGCGGACCTGGAGACCACAGCCTCCCAAGAACAGATGGAACCAGAGATGGACAGGCTCGATCCTGCGGACGCGGGAGACCCCACCACCACGTCCCTCGCCAGGCGCCCCAAGCGCCCCCGCCCGCCCCGGGCTGGCTCTGCACCCATCCTCCTCGGCTCGCGTCCATCCCCACGGGAGCGGGCAGCCCGGCCCCGCGCCGCCCGAGTGCGCCGCGGCCGCCGACGCCGCCGGGACCCAGGGCGCAGCCCCGCGTTAACCCTTGGCGTGCGGGGCGGTGGCGGGGGGGGGGGGGGGGAAGCTGACGACCCGCCGGGAAGCCCGGCTCTCTGCAGACCCGAGCGGAGGGAGGGCAGGGGAGGGGGGCGTCCACGAGCGCCTTACTCACCCCCCGCGTCCCGCCGCCGCCGCCGCCGCTGCCGCTGTGCCTCGGGCCCCCCGCGCCGATCCCGCTCCCATGGCAGGCCCCTACTTCATGCTCCCGAGCCCGGGGGGCAAGTGTGGGCGCGCCCCATGGGGCCGCCGGCACCCCCCGTGGCCCCGCCGCGCCAGGCCGGCTCAGAGCGCGCGGCCCGCGCGCCCCCAGCGCAGCCCCGCGCCCAGGGGCGTCCGAGCAGGCAGGCGGCGTGGCCGGGGCCCCGCTGGCGCCCGCGCCGGGCCCATGGTCCCAGGAGTCCGGGCGCCGCGCGCGCCCCTGCCTCGCTCTTCTTCTGCTTCCACCGAAAGAGCAAGAAGCAGCAAGGGGGGGGAAGAAAGAAAGAAAGGAAAGGGAAGGGAGATGATCAAACTTTTGGAGGCGGGCTGCTGGCGGTCCCCGGAGGCAGAGCCAGGCCGGGTGAGGGCGCGCGGAGGGCGGTGGAAGCGGCCTCCCCGCCGGCCTGGGGGAGGAGAGGAAAAGGAAGGATTTGGGGGAAATGAAGGCGATTTAAAGTCTCGGCCCGCGGCAGCTCTCCACCTTCCCCCCCCCTCCCCGCGCCGGGCCGCCCTCTGCTGCCCCTTGCTGCCCTCTGCCGGCCACAGTCGGGAACACAGCCCCAGCCGGCCCGCGACAGCCCAGGCTGGGACACCCGCCCCCTCCCTCCCCTCCTCCTCCTCGTCGTCCTCCTCCTCCTCAGAAAGATCGGAAAACGGAGTACGCACGGAGACGTGGCTGCCCACGGTTGCGGTACGCTTGGTCGCAGTCCTGAGACCAGGAGTTTGGGGCTCGTGAGATTGAGGGTACTCGAAATGGGGGTAGGGGCACAGCTGGGGGAGGGGGTAGAGGGAGAAAGGGGAAGAGACTCTACTCCCGAGGGGATCCCAGAGTTCCAGGCACAGAACTGAGACCGGGACTTGGTGTCTCGACTCCCACGAACACCAGCGTCTGAGACCCCTCCCCCACCCTTCACAAGAACATTGGTCGCCTTCTGTAGAAGGTGGGGGGGTTAGCCCTCCCGAGGCCCCTCAAGACTGGGCACCCCACACTGGGACACGCAGCGGCAGGCTTGACCTACCGCAAAGTCCCGGACAAATTCTCTCTCTCACTCTCTCTCTCTCTCACACACACACACACACCCCTCACCTCCACTTCAGCTAACTCGTTTAGGAACACACACACATACACACGTGCGGGCACTGCCACGCACTCTTCCTGGGAAACACATCTCGGGGATGTCTGCCTTGCCCTTCCGTGCACCCTCAGACTTCACACATGCAAACCCATGCACACGCTGATTGCCTCCACACGCACAAATGCACACGATCATAACCAGATCTCCCTCCACACGCGCGCGCACACCCTTACCTGCACTGAGCACGCGCAAGCATGCATGACTCCCCAGGCTGGGACCCACGTCGGCGAACGCGAGCACCTTTACGCGTGCACACACACACACACACACACACACACACACCAGTACTTCCCACCGCTCCAAGGACCCCCCCCCCCACACACACACAGCACTTACTGGGTCCCTAAGTGCGAGGCTGGCCGGTCGACCCTTCCACGGGCGCCTAACGGCATTTGTATTCATGGGTCCCCGCCGCCCCGGGCTCGGGGGCGGGGGTGCGTGGTCCCCTTCCCTAAACGCGGCGGCGCGGGCGCCCGGAGCGCAGCGGCGCCGGGAGGGGCATGGGCGCGCGGGCCTGCACCGCCAGCCCGGTCCGCCTGCGCTCAGACTCGGGCCACTCGTGGTCCTGCGGCTCTGGCGCGAGATCCGGGCTCCGGAGGGCGGCTCATAGGTGCTGGGGCCCGCGGTGCCCGCCGGGCCTTTTGAAGTCTCTGCTGGTGGGGTGGGGAGGGAGCGGGGAGGGGGCTCTGAAGGCGGCCTTTTAAATCGTGGCTGCACGCGGGCACGGTGGAGCAAGGTGTCTGGTTTCAACAAACTTGAGGAAAAGTCCCAGACCCGAGCTGGGCTGGGGAGGTGGGAGGGAGCCGCATAGCTCCGCGCGGCTTCCTGCAGGGGGCAGAGCACCCCGGGCTGCGGGGACTCACTCAGCCTTGTGGTCCTGGTGCCGGGGAGCCCGGGGAGAGACGGCGGGGCTCGCAGGGCTCGCGGGGCCGGCGCAGCCGCCGCCACACCCGCGCACCCCTGTGTTCAGCTGCAGCTCTCAAGTCCCAGGAATTTGGCCGGCAGTGCTGGAACACCCCCCCCCCAAAGTGTGCGCACACCGTCGGTACACGTTCGTGCATTCTTCTGGGGGAGACCCCCACCACACACACACACACACACACACACACACACACACACACACCACCTCGGCCTTCTGAAAGCTGAGAACTCCTTGTCCAATCATAGCTGAGGTGCTTTTTTAGAGCTGCATACTTTGTGCCAGGCACATCCGTCTTTATTTACATTTCTTTGGAGGGGGGGGGGTGTTTTGTTCACGGTTGCTGTTTTTTTTTGCATTTATTTCCACACTTTTAAAGTATTGCTTTAAGGGGTGGGTTCCATGGTGTAGCCCCTTGGGACCATAAACAAACCGTTCCAAGGAAATGGATACCAAGAAGCTGAAACATGTCTCCTCTCAGTGGGGTGGGAGCTAAGGAGGAGGAGGGTGGACAATGGAGAGAGGAAAGGTGGAGGAATATTGTTATAACACTCACTGTGCAGACATGAAAACGGAAGTAGGAAACATTCCGGGACAGGTGGGTTTGGGATGGATGGGAGGGGGAATGGTGGCCAGGGTGACACAGATCAAGATGCTGTGAACACATAATGGGACATGTTTTATTCAAAGCCCCTTTGTACAACCGTGCAAAGATAATAAAAGAATTGCATTAAACCTAGGTATCTGGGTTACTTAGTGATGTCGGCACCCCTTTAAATACTTATCTTCATTACTGGGGGTGAGGTGGGGGATGTTGGTGTCTCCTGGTAGTTTGAATCTTTGCTTGCCTTCCTCCAGCACAGGCCCTGCCAGCCACAGTGCCAATAGCCACCTTTTGAAAGAGACACGTGGTTATCTCTATTTACCAATGTCAATGCTGAGCTAAACTGGTGTGGTGGGGGCAGGAGGTGGGGCTGGAGCAGGGCTGGACTCATCTTCAGCATCTCAGCATGATGTGCCACTCCTCCACCTTTACCAGGTTCTCTCAGGAGACCCTCACGGGCCTCCCCAGCATTGCGACCTTCCTCTCAGCTTGTCAGCTCTCCTGTCTACAACTGCTTTTGTAGCTCACATGATGGTGTCACCATCAGACTGTTCTCTACCTGGGACATAGTCTATTCACATCAGCTTTCTCTGTGAAACTCCTACAGTATACAAAGCTCTGTGCAAGGATCTGGGGAAGAGGATCTGCCACTGTGGAGGTGGGGATTGTGGACACCAGCAAACACTCAGTGGTCACATTCTCCTGCTCTTTCCAACATTCTCCTGCATGCTCACACATGCACACACATGCACACCTGCTGTGAATCGGATTTAGTGAACAACAGTTTATATGCCCATGTATAAGAGACCCTTGCAAACTGTCACATCACATGTACCTATTTCATGGGTGAGGAACAGACTCTAGCAGGGGATACCCTCAGTCCTTTTGGCCTCAAGAGTTGCTCATGAGTCTTTGGGCCACTCAAGGAATAGCAACATGCTGCCAGGCCCCAGGCCTGAGCCAGCCCTAGGCAAATACAAGCAGCATCCCGGATGGCAGGGAGGGAAAATGTCTCCCAGCAGAGAGCTCAATGCCAGATGCCCAGGAAGTACTCCACAAGTGCTAAGAATAAATGAATGACTAGATGACAGAATGAACAAATGGAGGAAAATGCACGAGTGAATGACAGAATAAATTAATAAAAGAATGAATGAATGAATGAATGGGGCAAATGGATGACAAATACAAAATGAACAAATGATAGAATGAATGAATGGATGGCAGAATGAATGACAGAATGAGTGAGTGGCAGAGTGAATGACAGAATGAATGGATGAATGAGAGAATGAGCAAATTGACAAGGAACAAATGAATGACAGTGGAAGAATGATGGAGAATGAATGAATAACATATCAATGAATGAATGATAAAAAATCAATGAGGATGAATAACAGAATGAATGAATGACAGGATGAAAATAAGTGGTAGCATGAATCATGAACCAGTGGCTCATACCTATAATCCCTCTTTATTCTGGATGCTGAGATCCGAAATTTGAGATTCAAAGCCAGCTTGGGCAGAAAAGCCCTCTACACTTTGATCTCCAATCAACCAGAAAAATGCTGGACTGGAGGCATGATTCAAGTGGTAGGGTGGCAACTCTGAGGGAAAAAGCCAAGCAAAATGCAAAGCCTTGAGTTCAAACCCCCATACCAGCACACAAACACACACACACACACACACACACACACCAGTGATTGATGAATAAAAACATGAATAATAGGGCTAGGAAGGTGGCTCAGTGGTAGAGCCCTTGCTTTGCATGCATGAGGCCCTGGGTTTGATTCCTCAGCACCACATAAGGAGAAAAAGCCATAAGTGAAGCTATGGCTCAAGTGGTAGATTGCTAGCCTTGAGCTGAAGAGCTGAGGGACAGCACTCAGGCCCAGAGTTCAGGCCCCATGACCAACAACAACAACAAAAAGAATAATAATAATGATGAATGAATGAATGAATACAAGAAAACTTCCCAAGATTAGATCAGATTCATGGCTCTTGCCACCAGCTCCTTTTTGTGCATGACAGACTCAGCTTAGCATATATCAGATGTCCTGGTGACTAAGACACAAGCATCACACATCATCTCATCCAACCTGTTAGATGACATCAGATTGTCAGCAAGCAGGCAGCTGGATAGACAGCAGGGGGCCTGGCTGCCCTCAGTAGGATGTGCTCATAAGCTTCTCAGAGGATCTGCTGTTGGAAGAAACCCAAGCAAATGAGGGTGAGCAGTTGCTGAGAAGGCAATGGAACCCCAACTTACTGTCCCCCAAATTCCCTTACCAATAGACTGCCCCAGGACAAAGCATTGTGGTAGAGTCAGTGAGCTGATTCCCCAGCTGGAGAGAAAGGAAGTCTCCAGTACAGCTCCAGGACAGTTCGGGACAGCAATGTTTTCTGGGCAGGAGACCCCACTGTCTGGGCTTTGCAGACACCCCTGGCTCCTATTCCCTAGGCTAGGTTTCATCCCTCAGGGCTGGGCCAGGTAGCTGGGAAATATCCAAAACTAACTTTGCAGTGGTCAATCTGACCCAGGTCTGGAGGTCCCCAAAGAAATTCAGACCTGGAAGAAGCTACAGAAACTTCCTAGTCCAATTACAGACAGGGAAACTGAGGCTCAGAGGCAGAGGGTGTGATTTTATGAAGGTTACATAATTCCTTGGAGGGTGTTTAGGTAGATGAGAAACTACTACACCTTGCCCTCAGTTATTTCCACCTGTAGAAAGAGAAGTAAATCCACTTTGTAGATGGTAGTATACGGCAAGTTAAGATCCCTGGACTCTTCCCCAGTGGTGAGACTGAAATCTTTGTACCAAATAGGCCACTGGTATATAGTTATTCAAGAGGCTGAGTTGTGAAGATCGAAGTTGAAGGTCAACCCAAGCCAAAGCAGGAGAGCCTATCTAGAAAAACAAAAACCAACAAACAACAAAAATCTAAAAGCATAAAGGTTAAGGGCTTGGCTCAGGTGGTAGAGCACTCACCTGGCAAGTGGGAAGATCTGAGTTTACTTCCCTGTAAAAACCCTAAGAATTTCTCCTTCACTTCCTCTGTGTAGTAAAGGTGGGTTTTTGTTTTTTGTTTTTTTGTCTTCCTAAACAGAACTCTGTTATCTTTGATCCATCCACTCAGCCAGCTGGATTCATGTTGTTGAATCTGTTACTTTCATCTTTATGTCTTGAAGGGTCAAGGTGTCAATCATTGTGTGACTTTGAACCCAGGGGTCTGAGGACTGTGGGTTGATACCACCTTGTGGTGTTGTTTACTGACAATAGTGGGAGTAGTGATGATTTATACTTGGTCTTGTGAAGACTCCCAGGGGCTCTGCTTCACAGCAACATATGCAAAAGTGACCAGCCAGGAAGAAGAAACCCCAGGTGAAATTCCTTCTGGGGGCTTCCTGGTTTCAAGGGATTTTGTACACAGGTTAGTGGTTCCTGATCCAAGAAAGAACATGCATTTTGCTTTAGCCCTGGGACTAGTTCCTGTCCCATTCCTGTGCCTTGAGTCAGCCTTTGGTGGGAAAGCTCATCTTCAGGGAGATTGGCTGCTGTTCTTCAGTTACCTACAAAAGACTATAGGTGATGAGCAGTGATAGCCCGCCAATATGACTAACTTGTCTTCACACACACACACACACACACACACACACACACACACACACACACACATACACACTATCCAAAAAGAAATGTACTTGTTACCTGACTTATGTAACTTCAATTCCTCTGTACATCCTCTTAACAATAACTAACTGATACATAAATAATGCTAATGGAAAAATAACACACTGAAATGCTTATTTTGATCTCTGAGTTTTGAGGGACACAATATTCAACTTTTAAGCTTCTCTGTAGAACAGTTTCAAGACACTCTGAAGATGTCTCTGGCCTGGGGAGGTGGCAAAAAGAAGTGGGATCTACCCAGCGCAGCCTGTGGGCGCTAGGACCTAGTGGCAGGAAGCAGTAGAGGGAAATGTCCCTTAGATTCCCAGGCCTCCAGGGACAGAAAGTGCCTGTCTCAGAAGGGGTCCTGAGAGGCCACCCTTGGCAGGACAAAGGCAAGAGACCCCAGATACTAGAGATTTCAGGTCACTTTCCAGGTTAGTTTGGCAGGTCACCTTGTCATCT